TGTGCTTTACACAATTGATCTATGTATTGTGATGAATTGTATGAGCCCCAATAAAATGATTTTTAAAAAATTAAAAAATAGTCAAAATAAGGAGCCCTGGTGGTGATGTCAGGTGAGTGTTGGATTGCTACATACAAGATGGGCTGTTCAAATCTACCAGCCACTCCACAGGAGAAAAATCAGGCTATCTGCTTCGGTACAGATTTATAGCCTTGGAAACCCTAGTTAAGTTTGCACTGCAGGTAAAGCAAGCACACGTAAGCAAAAATGTCCAGGTGAACTACTACTTGTGATCATTGCATGAGTATGAGGGGAAAGCAACACAATTCCCATCATCTCTACTTAAGGCACATAGCTTTGGTGGGGACAGGGAGTGTACGTTAATACAAGGGAACCAAGTAGCGTAGAGATCATGAGAAAATCGACATAAGGCAAAAAGGTAATCAGTGTCATTCATCGTATGTCTAGAAACTGGAATGGGAGCAGGGGGTGGTGGCTGTCTTTTCAACACATTTAAAAAACAAAACAAAACAAAAAACCCAGCTGTTGAAGAAATCCCAGGATTGCACATCCTAGGAACACAAAATTATTTTCTCACATGTAAACCTTGGATTTATGGAAATATTATACACACTTAAGAAAAAAAAGAAAAAGGGAAATACATTTTAAATCTACAGCTACATATATACATTTACAAGCTTTGAGTTAATTCTTTTAACTTAGATAGTTGTTAAAAGACTCAGAGCTCCAGACAAATCTAAATACTCTTAGGATTTACTTCAAAAATGAGTGAAACATAAATTCTAAAAAGACTTGAGTAATCAGGTGATTTAATAGATAGCAGTATTAAAGGGTAGGTAATAGAATTGTTTTCTAATTGTTTTAGCGGTCAGGAGAAATATTACCCAAATCTAAATCTAACCAGTAAATAAACTCACTGCCACTGAATCGATTCCAACCCTGAGCATTCTCTACTGGGCAGAGTAGAACTGCCCCTGTGGGTTTCTGAGACTAAATCATTACAGGAGTAGAAAGCCTCATTTGTTCTCCTATGAACCAGCTGGTGGTTTCTAACTGCTGACCTTGTGGTGAACAGCCCAATGAATAGCGCACTATACCACCAGGACTCTTCAACCAGAAAATGTGCTGTGGTTGTTGTTATTGTTAGGTGCCGTTAAGTCAGTTCCTACCCGTAGCGACTTTAAACATGGCAGAACGAAACACTGCATAGTCACAATTGTTCCGATATTTGAACCCATTGTTGCAGCCATGGTGTCAATACATCTCCTTGAGGGCCTGCCTGTTTTCCACTGCCCCTCTGCTTTACCAAACATGATGTCCTTCTTCAGGGACTGGTCTCTCCTACTAACATGTCCAAAGTTTGTAAGGCAACATCCTTCCCTCTAAGAAGCACTCTGGCCGTACTTCAAAACAGATCAGTCTGTCCTTTGGGCAGACCATGGTACTTTCAATATTCTTCTCCAGCGCCACGACTCAAATGCAAATGTTTTTTTAAATCATTTTATTAGGGGCTCGTACAACTCTTATCACAATTCATACATCAATTGAGTCAGGTATGTTTGTACATATGTTGCCTTCATTCTTTTCTACACATTTACTTTCTATTGAACCCTTGGTATCAGCTCCTCTTTTCCTCCCCCCACCCCACCCCTTATAACCCCTTGATAGTATGTACATTGTTACTATTTTCATCTCTCACACCGACCACTGTCTCCCTTCCCCCATGTTTTCTGTTGTTCTTCCCCCTGTAGAGGGGTGTATGG